CTCTGGGTACCGGATCAGGGAAAACCTTCATCGCTATCATGTTAATAAAGGAGCTGGCTGCTGATATTCAGCGACCGTTTAAAGAAGGCGGCAAACGGACGTTCTTTCTTGTAGACAAAGGTAATCTCGTTGACAAGGACATAACTTATGGTTGTCGTTTTCATTATCTTTGAAACCTATTCGAATCTTGTACTTCTTGTTGGACAGCTTGAAAATGACACCATGCGTTTATTCATTTTTCTACAGTCTTTCATTTACTCATCCAATTTGAACTTATTTTTGCGGCCTACTACCCTTTAAGTGTTGTTCATTTTCCATTAGATTTCACTGATTTAGTAGTGGAACAGCGCGGAGAAGCTATGGAGTAAGTCGAGTAACAGATGTCGCAGTTCAGTCATCTCCAGCGTCATCAGAGATCATGTGGGTTGCTCTGCTGTTCACGACCTGTCATCTTCAGATGACGATGACACGACAATAAAAGCATCTCCAGGGCTGGCGCCATACAATCGGAGTTGAGTAGACGGATCGTTCTCGTCTCCGGTGTTTTTGTTAACCTCTAAAATATCTGAGTTCAGAAAGGACGGCCATTTCCACAGAAGTCCGCCCTTGCCTTGGATCGGTCTGTTCAGTGTTGTTTTATGGCACTGAAGCAGTTGTTCTAACGAAGGATAAAAATTACGGTTTAACTGCACACAACACGTTGGATTCGCCGCATAACCATGATTAAACTTGCAGAACCGCGTAGTAATGACTATCTTATACCGAACACATGTTATCTTTGTAGATGAGAGGTTGCGCATGTTAGACAGACTGGCTCATGTGCTCAAGTCCGCGAGATTCTCGTATGGGAGCTGGAACACGCAGACGTCTACCAGGAGGCCAGGATGTAACATGCACGAACAGGGCTAAGACAGATGCTTTCGACAAAGGATTTTTCTTTCTACGCTATAGTAGTCGGTACTTTATATCTAAACTGTTATAGAGTTGCAAATGCAATAGAAATAACAAATCGGGCGTTCTTCTTGTGCACACAACTCAGTATGATGATCACACAAAGACGATGAACAGTTTCCAGCAGCACTAGGTGAAGTATCCACAAAGTGGCATTGTGCACAAACGAGCTTGGTCATCAATGGGCTGTTGCTGACGACAGTTGGTCTAAGAAACCAGCACTAGCTTGGATTGATAAAACTTCCCAAAAAGAGAATGGGAGTACACTCGAAACTTTTCTCGCTTGGGAACCGTGCACTGAACGCAGACGCGGTGGAGGTCAGTACAAAACTGTAATCACTAGTTGGAATATGACCGTTGCCGCAGTAAATTTAGCAAAATATCGATGTAACTTCCTACTTCCAGTGATCAGACGTCACAGAGCTGGATTATTCTGAGCTTAAGCAACTTTAGCCTCAAATGATGCGGGACTAGACAACAGCAGTGGTAACTGCTTGGGTTTCAAGGTCGGTAATTTCAGGAGGTTTGCAAACAGCGGAGGAGTTTCTATCTATCTGCCGTACTCAGAACTTTGTAAAACAGATTTTGCCTAAGCTATGAATTGAGCGCAAATTTTGTCTTGTCGTTACTCAGGTAAGAATTGGTATACAAATTTAACTGTTGGTTATTAGATTATCTTTTGGGGTCGTTTTACCATATATAGCTACTTCATTGCAGTACGCGTTGATGAAAATATCGAATCAGTGCCTGTTTGAATGACAGTCATTTCTACATTTTTCTTCATTCATAGCTCAAGGCAATAAGTTATTAGGAGAACGTAAATTCTTCTATTTAACAACTTGTTTCCGTACAGTACACCATCATAAGCAGACTAACGTGCATAAAATAAATTAAACAAATACTGTAAATACTTGTGGTTTCACTCAATCAGATTGTTTTTCATATTCAAAACGAGTTTGGTTTTAGTTGCTCTCGTTAAGCAGCAGGCTGATCAGATACGAAAGCATACGAATTTGGTTGTTGGAGAATTTCACGGCCGCATGAATGTTGATTTCTGGGATAAAGCCGCATGGAGTAAACATCTAGAAAATAACCAGGTTGGTGTTTCTCACATTATTGTTTTTAACGTAGTTTAGCAACGAGATTTAAAAAGGAAATGTATGCCGTCACATCTTTTTTATGGCCATTGAAAATTAGTACAATCAGCCTATCTACTCGAATGATCGTAGTTTTGGTTTTATTGATTCATCATCACAAATCCATGTTTTTTTGAATAGCGGCATCAGCAGCTTTTGAACGATTTCCATTGTTTATCAGTTGAATATCCTTTGCAGACCGGATTCTCACTTCGACGATGCCAGATATTCAATGTACGCAAATCAAATATTTCCATTTCTCCTCCTGTAGCTGTCTGTCTATTTCCTCACCACTTGTCATGCGACTGAATGAAGAAAGTGTACGTGTTTATCGTTCTTGGTATTCTGATCGCACTCCAGTATCATTGCGGTTATGATCTCTTTGTCTCGAGGAGAGGTTCACGAAGCAGGCAAATAATGTTGATCCGCTGCATTGCAGGCAGGATGACGTCTAGATAATTCATTGTTAACTTATCGCTCCACTAATTCACTATATCGTTGGACGCTGTTTTGCTTTCAACACAACAAAATGGTTAAGCAGGGAGATTCATTGATAGCTGGTCCAATCTTAGATCCTTTGCTTCAGCGCGGATATTGCGTTTCTAATTGTCGTTACTTCGGTCTCTCTTCAGAACTTCGCCGAACCTGATACATAGGAGCGGGTCTAAATGTCATGATTCGTGAACTTTAGCGTCTAATGTTTTGTTTCGATCTTCCCAGTGTCATTTGCCACTTTTAATCCTTCTGTTGCCTCAGCCATCACGGTACTACTTTCTGTTCCACAATGAAGGTCGTAAATATCGTCATGATCTGCAGTTTGTGAAAACTTCAAAACATATTTTATATCTTTTTAGCGGATCATATTCATAGTATATGTAACCGTTGAATGTTATGATTCTGCGCAAAGATTAAGGTGCTTCTACTCCGGAAAGATTTTAGGTTTTGGTTATGACAGCCCAGATATTTTTGGATCTGCTCAGCCACGCATATTTAACACTGAACCGCGTCAACCTGATGGTATTTGATGAATGCCATCATGTGAACAAAAGTCATCCGTATCGCTTAATAATGGATCTTTACAGGGAATATGATGAAGGTATAATATACTTTTTGAAAGGTTTGGTATTTGTTTAATCA